ATAATTAATAAAAAAAATACTTTCAAGAACTAATAAATAAGATATGTAAAGTACATTATAGCAAATTGAAAAAACAAAAATATTGGAGAAGTGCTGCAAGTAAATCAATAATAGAAATAGAAATGAAGTCTAGAACATTAAAGAAAAACTTATGACAATTACCAAGACTTTCACAGTCGAGTTTTGTCATTAAATGCTTCAAATCATGAGTTTCTAACATAAACATTTAAAATTTCCTGCCTTAATTACATTTTCAATATAAAACTAAAGAAATGTTTATAATAATGTAACGAATTACATAATAATTTACTGAAATAAACAGGGTGGCCCAATTGAACTGAAACCAACTTAAAACTGCTATAACTTTTGAACAGTTGGCAATGTTGTGTCCATATTTCTCCTAATGATAGCTGATGTTATTGTTTACAAGCCTGCAGAAGCATTTGTATCTCAGTTTTTTGGAAAAAAAAGTTATCAGTGATGGAATTCAAACGTAATAGTGTGATAGCTTAATATTTGAGCGGAAAACCAAAAATCGCTTTTGTTAGAGCCCTCGAATGTCGTAAAATCTTTTCTATCTCGAACCATAACACATTATAAATAAGCTAGTAGTGTTAGAAAATGCTATTTTTAGTGGTCGGAAAAAACTACATCTGTGATAGAAGTGGTTCGGAAAGTTAAGGCTCGAATTGAATGAAATCCACGATGCAGTGGAAAACAAATTGCTACTCAGCTGAACGTATCGAAAATAACCATGCAACAAATACTCAAAAACGAGCTGAAAGTGACGAGCTTGTTCCAAAAAGGACAAGATCTCACCAATGATCAAATTTCCCAATTGAGAAATTCGTAAACAAACAAAATGATCGAATTTACTTAGAAGAGAGGTCAAACGAGAATTTAGACATTCGAATGGCCACAAGAAGTCAAGTACCAAGTCAAGTCAAGTTTGTAGTAGTTTGGGAGGCTGTGATGGTCGATAGTCACTTTTCTTTGGTGTTTGTGGACCATGGAGTCAAGGTTAATGCGAATCTGGGTATGGGTCATTTTACAGGCCAATGTCAGTACTAAAAAATACAAGTGTTAATAAGTGAATGGAGGAAGATTCCGCAGGTTCACATTCGTGCAGCGACCAACTCAGAGCTATAGTTCGCTCTCAAGGCGGAAATATAGAAAATTTAAAATGAATTCAAAAAATTTAATTGTTTTCCAACATGTTTTGCTTGCGGTTCAATAAAATCCAGTTTCATATTTAAAAAAATACAGCGTTCTGAAAAGTTGCAGTTCAATTGGGCCTACAGGGTGGTTTAATATAATAAAATGAATGAATAAATACATCAAAAGTAAACTGCGTCATCTAAAGACATATAATATTTTGGCAAAGGAAAATGTATGAGTCGAAGAAAGTAATAATAATAATAACAACACATAATACTCTCAATTACGTTATTCCTCCTTCTCTTCATTCATTCAACCAACCAAATGCATGAATGTGTATTCGTGCGTATGACGTGCACGTAATAAAATAAATCGAAACGAGAATCTTCGTCTCCGCTCGAATCGGTGATGAAAATCTTTTTCAATATAAAAGGGAAAGAGAGAACAACTAAAAAAAAACATTTATAAGCAAAAATAGACAACATCTTTTGCGGTCGACGGCAGTAAAACTGTTTCACCTAATAAAATTCACAATAATAATAATAATATTTTTATTGCACGCAGACAGCGGCATTATTTATGTCTATGATTCATGACCGAATACAGTTGCTGTTTCAAAACTTAATTTTTACACAAAGTAATTCATGGATGTACAGAAAATGTGTAATTATGAATGTATAAAATTATTTGACAATTATTTTCTTTTGAGGATTGATTTTTTGGGTTCGTCGTTTATTCTACTGTTAATATTACTTTTAAAATAATGCTGTTGTCTTTTTAACAAATTCAAAATCTTGTTCAATTTAGTTTATAATTAATTAGAATTAGTTTAATTTGAATATTCGAAATTGCATATTGAATGAATATTCGTTATATAAAAAAAGTTAAATTAATGAATTAAAATATTTATTTGTGCTAATTTTATAAAATAATTATACATCTACTTTATATGTGATATGTGTTATTATTATGATTTCGAATGTACTTATACTTGCTACACACAAGTTACTTGGCAAGTATTGCGTTGCTAGTAGTAATCTTTAATTAATGAGTTATTTACTAAGTAAATTGTCAACAACTTGTCTATTATCATATGTGATACTTGTTGTCTCGATGATTTCGAATGTACTTATACTTGCAACACACACGTTACTTGGCAAGTATTGCGTTGCTAGTAGTAATCTTAAAATACTTAACTCAAAAAGGTTATTTACTTGCTAAATTGTCAATTACTTATCTACTATCATATGTGATATGTGTTGTCTCCATGATTTCGAACGTACTTATAGTTGCTACACACAAGTTATTTGGCAAGTATTGCGTTACTAGTAGTAATCTTAAAATGATTAACTCAAAAGCATTATTTACTAAATACATTTTCAACTACTTGTCTATTATCATATGTGATACGTGTTGTCTCGATGATTTCGAATGTACTTATACTTGTTACACACAAGTTACTTGGAAAGTATTGCGTTGCTAGTAATAATCTTTTAATAATTAACTCAAAAACGTTATTTAGTAAGTAAATTGTCAACTACTTTTCTATTATCACATGTGACACGTGTTGTCTCCATGATTCCGAATGTACTTATACTTGATACAAACAAGTTACTTGGCAAGTATTGCGTTGCTAGTAGTAATCTTTAAATAATTAACTCAAAACCGTTATTTACTAAGTAGATTGTCAACTACTTGTCTATTATCATATGTGATACGTGTTGTCTCGATGATTTCGAATGTACTTATACTTGTTACATACAAGTTACTTGGAAAGTATTGCGTTGCTAGTAATAATCTTTTAATAATTAACTCAAAAACGTCATGTAGTAAGTAAATTGTCAACTACTTTTCTATTATCACATGTGACACGTGTTGTCTCCATGATTCCGAATGTACTTATACTTGATACAAGCAAGTTACTTGGCAAGTATTGCGTTGCTACTAGTAATCTTTAAATAATTAACTCAAAACCGTTATTTACTAAGTAAATTGTCAACTACTTGTCTATTATCATATATGATACGTGTTGTCTCGATGATTTCGAATGTACTTACACTTTTTACACATAAGTTACTTGGCAAGTATTACGTTGCTAGTAGTAGTCTTAATATAATTAACTAAAAATACTATTACGTTTTATGATTATAAACATATATTTTTCATTTATATTTTTTTTTAAATTGATAATTTATCATAAATTGAATTGGAAAACATTTTTTTTATTAACACAACAAACATGTGGTGTATATATCAATATTGTGTACTGAGAAACAATAAAGCATTGTGCAATCCATGAAGCAGAAGAAAGTGATTGTCGGTTGGTTGGGTCGACATCGAAAAGCCATAAAGTCCTCTTCGAGTTTAGTTCGGAGGACTAGTTTACAGCAAGCAAGCAAAGCAGCATTGATATTAATTTTCGCGGCGTCACGTTTATTGACAGCCCTCGAAATCCGAGCCCGATTATCGGTATTAACGCCACATCGAGGGCTTGTCCACAGAAAACTTCATGGGACTTAGTTCACGGTGATCCCGAGTATCATCAGTATTAATTGTGTGCTCACGCTTTTGCGAGTTTACATCAACACCACTTTTACTCGTCAAATCATTCAATTATAATGACACATCGTATTTGATGAATTCCCAACATAACTTGATTTTATATAATCTAATTAAATTATCAATTGAAAAACAACAGATTTTGACATTTAAATGACAGATAATATAAACTGTCAAATAAGAAGCGTTACCTTTCATTATTTAATAAAAAAATGGATAACTAGATTTTACTTTATATTTAAAACTTTGTGCACCTGTGGTTTGTTTGTTACCAAGGTTTTATTTCCCAGTGGTTCCACATAATTTTTCAAGTTCTAAATAAAAATAGAAAACTTTGTTCATACATTCATTCGTAAAGTATTACACATTTTTAACCTAATTTATCCAAAAAAATCGACAGTTTTGACAAAATTAAGTTGGGCTACAAAGGATTAAGGTTAAGTAAAAATATAAGAAATGATAATTGAAAAAATAAATAAAATTTGATAGTCTTACGCATTGATGAATTTCAAATATAACTCGATTTTACTCAAGATTAAATTTGTATTTGCAAAATCAAAAGTGTTGACAATTAAATGACAATGATACTGTAGAGTGTCATAAAAGAAGCGTTTCCATTTTATATTGAAACAACTATTTCTCAGTATGTTCTAATTAGAACTGACATAACCTCAACTAGAGAGAAAATAAAATAGTAACGATTCTTTTATGACAGTTTGATTAACAAATATAAGTTTTGATATAACTAGAGAAATATTTTACAAATTATTTTAATATTAGAATGGAATCATTAGATAGATTTGTGAAGAAGTTGTCAAAAAAAAATTGACAAATAATGACATTTTGACAGTTTTTCCAAATAACATTTGCTGCATTATGAAAATCAATCTTGGAAAAAAAACTGTCAAATAATAAGATCTAATATAAGATCAAATTTAGGTTTAAAATCGACATTATATAACATATTTAACATACTAAATGATTTTGTTATCATTCTAATGACTAAAATCTTTAGATTGTAAACTATAGCTGATTATCCTGATTTATAGCTTATGTCATCAACCTGACATCTCCTGTCAGGAGACGTGTCAAAATTACAAACTTGGTTATAATATTTGTCATAAAACTTAAGTAATTAAAGCCTTGTCATGGCTAAATTAGAATGATGCAGTCAAATGTGATTAAATAAATGATTTTGTGTACATTTTCTTACAATTTATTTATAAATTACTTATAATTTTTTTTCTTGAATTAAATATTGTTTATATAAATTAGAATTATATTTAATGGTGGACGGCGATTACTGGAGCGTGCACGGCTTTGTGGACGACTGGAACGGCGTGGACGACTGGTACAACTGGGGTCTTGTGGTGGATGACGTGAGAAGAGTGAGACACATGGGTGGTAGCTACGACTGGTACAGCGGCCTTAACAACGACTGGAGTGTGGACAGCGTGTACGACCGGAGTGTGGACAGCGTGCACGATTGGAGCATGGACAACTGGTGCATGTACCACTGGAGTCTTCACGATCACCGGAGCATGAACCACCGGAGTGTGAACCACGGAATGGGCATGGACGGCTGGTACAACCACGCTGTGAGCGACCAAACCACCTGGGGCGGCGACGGCAACAGCTACAAGAGCAGAAAGAACGATCTGAAAGCGAAAGAAACAAATTAGTTTATTGAATTTACTAAAAAAAAAATAGGAGACCCACCAATTTGAACATGATTGGTTGTTGTTGTTGTTGTTCTTGCAGATGAACTGATTATGCTGCCGTTGATCCATCTCGCAGCTTATATACTATACAGATCTCGCACGTCCATCCCCACATCCAAATTTCTTCTACCGCTTATCTAGCGTGCTGGAAACAAGTTCACCTTAAGTTGACGTAAGAAAAATACGTATGTTGTATATAAAAAAAAAAGAAATTGCTCCGACGAGAGACACAAAAGACACTCATTGCCACACATCAATACCGAACTAATCGTATGCAGAGCTGCCGCGGTTTTAGGTCAAGGCCCCAAAAGGGTTTTCACTTCTTGAACCGCTAAATACTGCATCGCGGTTACATAACGACGATGATCGTTGCGCAAACGCCCGAAAATCCATCTCCAACTACAAGCATAAACTCATTTTTCTCTTCTCTCTCTGTGTATGTGTTCCACGCATTCACCAATTACCATTAATCTCCATTAATCGAAATCCCTTCCGTGATGAACGGCGCCTGCATTTGCAATTCCACGACCTTAATTCTAGTTTATTCCAGTTTTTATTTTATTTTTTTTTTGTACTTTTGTTGCTGTTTTACCTCATCCAGTAAAATTTAGAGTCTAAATGAAACAAAGGGGGGTTTTAACGAAAGCAATTAAAATTTGCATCGAGCGAAGAAAAGCGTTGAAAACAATGTCTTTAGGCAGCCTCAGCCTCGAAGGTTAAAGTAGATGGTATCGTGTAGGTTTCGGCTATGGATTTGCATTGATTTCCAATTAACGATGAAGCGTGTATATCTTTCACAAATAATCGATCAATACGTTTTGTCGAAGCATATAATTAGATGTGTTCTTTTTAAGGAAGAAGTGTATTTGGGTTGGCTAGAGGTCAATGTAATACTGAACGGCAATGAGAGATGTGTGTGCACGATTTTACTGTGAATAACAAATGGAGGATAGAAAAAATTGGCAGTCAATATTTGCCTTGAGTCTGCGGTCATCTAACTATTTGCTACTTTTTTTTATATATCGATGATGTGTACATATTAATCATCATAATTAAAGTGTTTTCTATCAGACAAATTTTGAATCTACTCATAAGTTTAACTAAATTTAAGCACTTCAATGATTTGGATTAAAAACTTGATACACTTGCTTATTAATACATTACTTAAGTAAAGTAATACAAATTAAAGTATGAAACTAAAAAGATATGAATATGACTATATTGACTATAAGTCTTTCTTCCTTTAAAATTACAGAAATTACATAAGAATGCACCGAAACTACATAACAAAATTCTGGTAATAACCAATATGTTACAAATTGACTTTAGAAATTTTAATAATCTTTAGTTTTGTACTAAAATGTATTTGTAATAAAAGTACTGTAGCTTCGATTAGTCCGGATTTTCTAAAGAATACACATTTTCTTATTAATAAAATGAAACAATATATTAATTTTAATAAAACTCTGACTATTTTTTTTAAATAAATATTATATTGAATGTGATATATTTGTAATCTGTAAATGAGGCGTTCGTATCTTGACGCTCTTATATTAGCATACTCCGTCCGAAGACAATTAATAAATGCCCGCCAAAGAGATTTACATAAATCATTGTTCAGACCGTTTCCACATACGTACGTACATTGTTATGCAAAAATTTCATGGAGAAAGATTAATAGATGGCGCGGAGGAGAAAAAAAAAAGAGAAAGTCGCGACATGTTAATGTAACCTTTAGCGCTTCGAGCGCAGCCACCCCCCAAAAAAAAGAAACACACACAAAAACAAACAATACTCATATCCAAAATTGAATGTGTAACTTAGCAGCTTTACACCCACACAAAAATAAATACGATCATATTGTTTAATTCTTATATAATTGGGTGTAACTGTAATATGAATAACAAGACAGTTTTTGTTATGATATTGTAAAATGAATTATGTAATTGATTGATTTGTTGCATTGATTAAATTTGTAAATAAAATACTAGTATGTGGGACACCTGAAACAATTTACACTAAACTTCTTCGACTTTCAGTGAGAAATTCAAATCGATCAAGTATTTCATAAAAGCTATATAAAACTTTTATCTTCAGTTTCGTAAAGTTTCTTGAAAAGCGATGAAACCGTTTTCGTGTAGTAGAATTATCTGCAATTTAAATAGGAAATATAATAGATTGAGTTAATGAAAACTTTACAGTTTTTTATAAGCTTATCCATATTCTTAACAATTGGATTTTTATAAAAAAAAAAACAAAAACAGAACAACAAGTTAATTGAATCTGTAGTTAAATTTAGAAATACAAAAAATCAGTTTACTTCATACTTGTAAAACTTCTTAAGTTGATTATTATCATTACGACTTATTTACAACACAGCGATGAAATGGTTTCCTTTTAGTAGAAATATCTGCAATTTAAATGGGAAATATAGTAGAAGTAATAAATAAGTTACTTGAATTAATAAAAACTTTACAATTTTATAACATTATCCATATTCTTAACAATTAGATTTGTATAAAGAAAAGGAGAAGAAGTTAATTGAATTTATAGTTTAAATTGACAACAACACAAATCAGTTTACTTGATATATGTAAAACTTCTGAACTTGATTATTATCATTACGACTTGTTTATAATGCAGCGATGAAAACGTTTCCTTTTTGTAGAAATATCTGCAATTTAAATGGGAAATATAATAGAAGTAATAAATAAGTTACTTAAGTTAATGAAAACTTTACAATTTATAAGATTATCCATATTCTTAACAATTAGATTTGTATAAAAAAAGGACAAGAAGTTAATTGAATTTGTAGTTTAAGTTGACAACAACACAAATCAATTTACTTGATACTTGTAAAACTTCTGAACTTGATTATTACAATTTTATAAGATTTTCCATATTCTTAAGAATTGGATTTTTGTAAAACAAAAATAGGACAAGAAGTTTACTTGATACTTGTAAAACTTCTTAACTTGATTATTATCATTACGACTTATTTACAATACAGCGATGAAAATGTTTCCTTTTAGTAGGAATATCTGCAATATAAATGGGAAATATAATAAAAGGGATAAATAAGTTACTTGAGTTAATGAAAATCAGTTTACTTGATACTTGTAAAACTTCTTAACTTAATTATTATCATTACGACTTATTTACAACGTTTGATGAAAACGTTTGCTTTTAGTAGAAATATCTACAACTTAAATGGGAAATATAATAGAAGTGATAAATAAGTTACTTAAGTTAATAAAAACTTAACAATTTTAGAAGATTATCCATATTCTTAACAATTGGATTTTTATAAAAGACAAACAAAAACAGTACAAGAAGTTAATTGAATTTGTAGTTTAAATTGACAAAAACACAAATCAGTTTACTTGATACTTGTAAAACTTCTTAACTTGTTTATTATCATTACGACTTATTTACAACACAGCGATGAAATGGTTTTCTTTTAGTAGAAACATCTGCAATTTAAATACGAAATATAATAGAAGTGATAAATAAGATACTTGAATTAATGAAAACTTTACAATTTATAAGATTATCCATATTCTTAACAATTGGATTTGCATAAAAAAAAGGACAAGAAGTTAATTCAATTTGTAGTTTAAATTGACAACAACACAAATCAGTTTACTTGATACTTGTAAAACTTCTGAACTTGATTATTATCATTACGACTTATTTACAACACATTGCTGAAAACGTTTCCTGTTAGTAGAAATATCTGCAATTTAAATAGGTAATGTAATGGAAGTGATAAATAAGTTACTTGAGTTAATGAAAGCTTTACAATTTTATAAGATTATCCATATTTTTAACAATTGGATTTGTATAAAAAAAGGACAAGAAGTTAATTGAATTTGTAGTTTAAATTGACAAGAACAATAATCAGTTTACTTGATACTTGTAAAACTTCTTAACATAATTATTATCATTACGACTTATTTACAATGTTTGATGAAAACGTTTTCTTTTAGTGGAAATATCTGCAATATAAATGGGAAATGTAATAGAAGTGATAAATAAGTTACTTGAGTTAATGAAAACTTTACAATTTTATAGGATTATCCATATAAAACAAAAATAGGACAAGAAGTTTACTTGATACTTGTAAAACTTCTGAACTTAATTATTTTGATTATCACATATTTACAACAATAGCAATCTTTATTAGTAATGAGATGAGAATCACAGGAAAGTGGAGACGAATGTCTTCATTTAACAATAGAAAAAATAAACTTAAAGCTTATCCATGTTCTTAACAAGTGGATTAGGTTGGAGGTCTGGAAGTTGATTGAATCAGCTCTTCGCGCTGTGGAACGTCTATACTAATATATCATATTTAGGTGAGTCGAAGTGCAAATCCTAATCCCGGGGATTGGATGCTCTTGAAGCTAAAGCCAGCCAGATCCAGCCAAGCCTTTAAACAAATTATAAATTCAATCCGACCGACGCGGATCAATATCGCCAGATTTATTTCCGTATTTCCCAGCTCCATGCACATCCCTAATATCTGTTGTGATGTTGCTGCTGCTGCTGCTGCAGCTGCGGTGGGATACGTTCCCCAAATATAATGCAGAGGCGCCTCGGCAACAAAATGTCACAGTTCATCCAATAAATTTAATCCGCAACAATGCGACCCGTTTAATTATTGGAATAACCGCGCCGGAATGGATAAATTAAATTTATTTATAGGCCCATGCATGATGCATTTATGCATGAAGCAACGCACGAAAAAAAAAACAACTACACGGACGAAGATTACGAAACGTGCATACTTTTCGCTTATCGGAATCGCAGGTTATAGTTTTCGTGGCACCGTCGCCTGCAGAACTCTTCCTTTTCCATGCTTTTCCTCCTTCTCAACAACAACTACAACAACAACAGCCATTACAATGCTAAAATTCGTAAGTTCTTGACAAAGTTTTAACTCTGATGTTTGGAGTCTCTGCCGTTTTCCAGTTGCCGCTCGTCTCCATTCTGCGCTCGGGTCGTTGGGTAAATACTGCTGCGCCAGGACGCAGGACCCACGCTAAATCACTTATTTATTTGATGGT